TTGTCTGCAGTACTCTGTTCGTGTATTATTATCCATACAGGTAGTCCTCAACTTACAACAATTTACAGTATTTAGTAACCGCTCAAAGTTACAATAGCACTGAAAAAAAGTGATTTTATGACCATTTTGAAGACTTGTGACTATTGCAGAATCCCCATGGCCACGTGATTAAAATTCAGATGTTTAGTAATTGACTAATACTTAAAACTGTTGCAACATTCTGACAAAGTCAGTGGGGAAGGAAGATTCACTTAACAACCATGTTACCTAATAATTTCAGAGATTCACTTAACAATTGTGGCAGGAAAGGTTGTAAAATTCAGTTAACAACTATCTCACTTACCACCAGATATTTTGGGCTCAATTGTAATAATAATTCGAGGACTACCTATGGTTTTTTTCCTCTTATTGACTCTAATGATTTTAACCAAATATTTTTAAAGTTCAACAGATACATGATTTATTTAGAAACTGGTTATTTCTTACAGTACTTCAAGCTTTTAATTGCATGTTAGAATATATTGGTAGCATATTTTAGATTTGTGGCTTATCTCAGATATTTTGCAGTTCATTAAGTCTTTATAGTATCTAAAATTTTAAAGAATAACAAATGGTATAGGATCTATAGTATCTATAAAGTGGTGGGATTCAAAAAAATTGTGTGGCTTGGTGGGCATGGGAGGGGAAGGATACTATAAAATCCCCATTTCTTCCTGATCAGCTGGGACTCGGGAGGCAGAGAATAGATGGGGTGGGGCCAGTCAGAGGTGGTATTTACCGGTTCTCCAAACTACTCAAAATTTCCACTACCTGTTCTCCAAAACTGGTCAGAACCTGCTGAATACCACCTCTGTATCTATACCATTTGTTATTCTTTTAAATTTTTCTTCTTGTAGTATTTTTATTCCATTTCTTTTGAAAATTATAGTATTGTCACCTAGATTATAAAAGCAAATCAATAAAATAATTATATACATAAGGAGATCTAGAAAAGAATCTTTTTTCAACCCCATTTTTTCATGCTTAGAAAACCGATTCTATGACAAAGATTTGTTTCAAGTGATTCCCTCATGTATTAATTCTGAGTAGATTGCATTCCACCGATATGTTTCAATTGTAATAGTTTTGATCTGTGCAGTCCACATTAGAAAACACCACTAGGGGGCAGTAAAGCCATACACACACACACACACACATTAATTAGCTCATTCTACCACAAATTGTCTATTTTATATTGTAGAATATATATGTGTATGTGTGTGTGTGTGTGTGTGTGT